TTTATAAAAATAAAAGGGTAGTTTAAAAAAAATAATAAGATGCTACATTGGAGTTTGTGGCATCCAGTTGGTTCAATTTCAAGGTTAAGGGATTTGCATTTTTTTTCCTTGTTTGACCTTATTTGGTCCGTACATGTCAATGGCAATTAGCAAGAGATTCAATGGATATGATGGATTCAAGTGAACAGAAACATAGGATTGACTTGAGTTTCAAATTTTAATGGATAGAGTCAGCTATTTTCGGGAAATTAAAAATTAAAATTGCAATAACTTAAAATGACCTATGCAACATGATTGATTAACCTAAATTATGAGGAGTCTATACAGAGTGGTTTAAAGAATACAATTCAACTTTTTGCTAGAATAAAATCTCTTCCAATTTTTAATTTGTGAGTATAAGTTGGGTGTGTGATTTCTTCAAGTTAAATAGGCTGAAATACAAGCACAGGCACCTAACCTACCGGGAAAGTTATCTCCTTGTATCAGGATGAGGCTTGAATTTTTTTTATAATTTGTAGTTTCATTCTTTGTCCATTTATTCTATATAATTTATTTCATTAAGTAATCTTGGTTTGGTAAAAATTTTAAATGTAGGACATGTGATTTTGGGAAATTAGTTTATTCGGCTGATGATTTTATTTGTTTCCGCATTCTTACCGAAACTATTAGATTTTACTATGATTTCATAATTAATTGGCTTAAAGACTATTGCATTTGTTTTTTATTAAAAGAAAGTGAGTTTTTATCCAAATTCACATCTAGTAAACTGTGAATCCTCAAATTTTATTTGCATAAAAGCATACTACACATCATATTGGTTGGCAGGTTGCATTATAAAATCCTAAACCTATGCCATCCCACATCACTCCGGGTGATGGATTTTTGGAGATTTGCACATTAAATAGTTTATAAATGCACCATATTGACTATATGTAGTTAATAAAATATTAAATCAATGATGCACAATATTGACTATATGTAGTTAATAAAATATTAAATCAATGACGCAATATAAATGAAATTGGGTAGGGTATGGTTATAACCAACACTGTCATATGGATAAAAATTGTAATTCTACATTCGATTAAAGACATAAAACTGTGGAGTTTTTCAAGGTTGATAAATAATTTGCATGTTTTAAGTAGTTGAATAAATTTAGAGGGGCATAATTGATTGCTTTCGCAAAGTGTTTCGAGTTAAAAAATGCATGCATTAGCAAAATGCTTCAAGAGATAAATCAATCATTTGGTGAATATGGAGATGAATTGCATAATCAATTTTAAAGTAGTAAAAAAAAAGGATTTTAGCATCTTTGAATATTATGCAAGGTTCACACACCTTGTAAGTACAAATAATTCTCTTTTAGACTAATAAATACCACTACTTGCTTAAATAATGGTCTTAGACGAGAATCTAGGAATAAACTAAGCTACAATTCTTTAAAACAAAATATTATATGAGGTTTTGACTATAGATGTATGTTATGATTATTTATTAGAGTTGTTGCACCAATATCAATTCCTAAGAAAAACTCGACATCTTATCTAATACCTCTGTAAAATACACTTGTGCAAGATTGTAATAATTTTAAATAATTATCAACATTAAGTCTAGAATATTAATCTATTTTGCATAATGTAATCATAGGCTACAATTCTTGATGAATGAAATGTTTTTTTTTAATGAAAATATTGTCTAAATTTTTTATTTTATAATTAAATGATACAACAACTATTCATTCTAAAGAAATGATTTCGAGCATTATGTAAAATCATACCAATTAAATAATTTCATTTAAATTTCTTGATTTAAATGTTAAATCATAGATATAAGTGATATGCATTTAAGATCTGTTGGAAAATTTCTTGAAAACTAGATAACTCAATTGAACATCATTTAAAGTTATTATATAATAAGAATAACATTATATGAGAAAGACTGTCAACCTCTGTAAACACTTCAACTAGTTTTTTCCCATCTTAAGACCCCCACTAAGACATCTCATAGGAACATTAAGAACATTATCCGTTTTTAAGTGACATGTAACATCAATTTAAGACAATTTCTCTTCTTAAATGAGACAAAAGTCCCTATGTCTCATTTTTGTGTAGAAATTGGAGATAATTCACCCACATCTGATGATGAATTGAATCTTGCCTCTTTGGCTACCATGATGTACTTCTATTTCACAATCTAATTATGAAGATTAGTTGTGTAAAAGTATCTTTTAATGTGACAAGAAATTGAGTAAATTACTGATATAGGAAGTGCAATAAATATCATATCAACTAAAGCACTCATAACAACAAGCTATTAATTTAAGCCACATACTACACCATTTCATGTTAGATGTGCAAAATAACACATCCCAACTTGTGACCGCTAGACACCTAGTCCTTATCAAACTAAGAAGTTATAAGAATCAAACTTAGAGTGATATCCTCCTCAGGGGCAAAGCACATTCTTATAAGCAGACTTTGACTATATGATGTTATGGTCAAGAAAATACTATGTATTCAAAAGAGATAATAAAATAATAAAACTGTTTCCTATCAAGCTAGCACCACATAAGTATAACTTTGAACTCAAACATGTTTCTAGAACGAAATATGTACAGCTATAGTTAATTTTATTGACTCTTCTATTGATACCCCCTCTTATCTTAGATTCTCATTCTAATGCTTCTACTCCTCCATCTACATCAAGCACAAATTATAATGAGCATTTTCTTCCCGAGAAGGATGTTACACCTTTATCACCTAAGAGACAGATATCTTTGTGTCTCAATTCTTTAACATAACTTTTCTAATCCATCCCGATGTATAAATTCCTACTAACCCATACATACACGTATTCTTAGATCCTAAACTTGATTTTTTTATACACCACATCACGACTTGACTATAAGTTACCATCCACGAGTAACGTATAGCCTGATTTAGCTCTTAACCTTAAATTGTCATTGTTAGATCTTATGCATCCCATTGAGAAACATGAGCTACTTGATAACATTAATGATTTGTTTTTTATGCTTCCTGATCTAATTAATCTAACACATCATTCATTATATGCTACTGCATTTTCATTAGAATTTTATATTCACAATCTTCATTTATGTGTGCCACAACAATTTGACATCATAATGATAAATTTGTTGAAGATATTTTCAAATGTATTGATCGTGGGAATTTAATGACAGTGATTATGTTTGTATGTTATCTCCTCTCATCCTCTCATTTTGAGTCTTCTTCCTAACCCTAACATATTTTAACCCTAAAAGCATCCTAACATAACCCCAACAAAACCTCCCTATCCATTAGCCTCTTCACCCAACTCCATTGGGCCCCTCAACAAAAAAACCCTATCCTCTCCCAAGCTCTCCACAAATATGCCCTATCCTCTCCACAACCTTTTGCTGGAATATAATGATGAAAATAAAATAAATAATTAAAAAATCCTCCCTCTTACCTCCAAGATCATAAACCCTCGCACCCCATTTTCACTTCTTGGCCTCACCACATGCAATTCATACTCAAGCCTATCTTCCCCTCAGGCAATATGCCACTATCAACTACTAACTCTCAGCATCCACCTTCAATCCCACAAAATCCAACACTAAATATCACCTCACAATTCACCTCTTGGCCCCACCCCATGCAATACATGCTCAAGCCTATCTTCCCCTCAGGACTCCACAAATATGCCACTATCAACTACTAACTCTCAACCTCCACCTTCAATCCCACAAAATCCAACATTAAATATCACCTCACCACTCCAAGTTCCCCATCATAACTCCATAAGTCATCACCATGCAAGGAGAGTTCATTCTCCTCAAGATCCTGCCTTCACCAACCCATTAGTGATTTTATGTGTTATAATGAGATATACAAGTGAAAAGAATTATCTTAATGCCACCAATCATAGAGATAAGCATAATTATTTTATATTTTAATAATTTAGTTGATTTTAACTCACAAAATCTTTCAAATCACTTTAGATCCTTTTAATTTGAAATAGTGTTAATGATTTGGCTGAATTTAAGAATTGAGCAATCAAATCAGGATTCACACCATCAAGATTTTAAAAAAAAAAAATCATACTCGGTCAAATAGACCCTAAGAATGTACAAAACAATTCAGTAAATCAGATAGATAACATTCACATTTTTCTTCAAATAGTTAAACTCAAAACAGAGAAATGAGATATGCAAGCCTAAGATATGCTAAAATGTTTGCAAACAAAAATTACGAAAAAAAATCCATAAAAGGGCTATTTGGTATCCCATTTAAGGCAAGATTTAAGCAAGTTTTAGCTTAGAGTTTAGGGAACTTTAAACTCTTTTGATAAATATAATTTAAACCACATTATTTGTTAAATACATAATTTGCAAAACCTATCATTCATAAGATTTAATGGATATAAGGGACTTCACCTCTCACAAATGTTAAATCCTGAAACAAATAGCCAAAAAGTTTATCAAGATTTACCAAGATTTAACAGTTGTGCCAAATAATTTCCAGATTTTAATCATCCCAATAGTTACTAAATCCTGCTTGTGGCCAAACAGCCCCTAAAATCAGACAGGTTGCAGCTAAAGCTCGAGTTAGATCTCCCCCAAAGGCGAAGCTCCGAATAATAGAGCGTCTAAAGAACTTCACGCGACATAGATAACACATTGTTATAAGGCAGAAAAACTATTTCCAACGAATAATAACATAAATATTCATAGATTTTAATAATCACATCGAAACAACGTGCAAATCTTAAAAGAAACAAATTACCGAAAAAAAATAAATTAATCGTCACGTTCATCATACAACTCGACTACAATCGAATTCAATCAGTAAAGATTCCAAATAAAAACACGATTAGGAAATCATAAGAAAGGAGGAATGGGGCTGAGTACGAAGAAAGCGCGCAAGATCAGATCAACATAAAACAGAAAATCGTTTAAAATTAGAAAGAGAGAGAGAGGGAGAGGAAGAGAGAGCGAGAACCTGGCTGGTTGCTAGCGGACGGCGACTGAAATTCCAATGAGGCGATCACCCGTGATCGGGAAGAGGGCGAGGGTCGAGGCTAGGGTTTCAAGGGTTTTAGTATTGCCACTCATTTTGCAGTGATACCCTTCATTTCCACTTATTAACGAGATCCAGCGCCCGAACCGGACCCTGCGCGAACCGGACCACCTATGCAATGGGTAATGAAGAATGATTCAACTATGTGAGAGTGTTTATACTGTTAGTGTTTGGTACAATGTGAAATGCTAATGCAATTGCACCAGCTATTTCAATTTATACACAAACAACAAAGTTGCACAAATATCTAAATAATTGAAAATAAATATGGTTAATATCACCTAAAAATTATCTTGATCGGACGCGAATCTTGATGCAAATATGCGTCGAAATATTCAAAAAATAAAATTGGGTTCATCTGAACTCCAATTTTAGCAAGCTTATATTCAAACTGAACGTTTCAAAGAGTAAAACCCTATAACGCCAAAATTGGTCCAATCCAAACCCAAATTTGGTCCAAAGCGAGGGCTCGATGCCTATTTGGAAGCTTCATAGCATTAATTTGATGACCAAATGATATCCAAATGTGACATGTTTATAGTTGAATCGAGTGGCTCGACGAGGCTAAGATTGTCAAATTATGACATCATTAAGACACTCAAATTCCTAATAAACAATCCATGATTTAGGGAGTTGATATCAGTCATCCATTGAAATACTCCCAACATGTTCTTAATCTTCTCCTTATTTACTAGTCATGTCACTCACAATGATAATAATAATAATAATAAATATATCCCTCATTTTTCACATAGGGAGAACGAGGAAGAGATAAAAAAACAAAGAATCTATCTTTCTTTCTCAAGCTTGCACCACTCGGTCGCCTACCGTCGTTGGACTTCCACCTTGCCTCCAGACTTTCTTCCACTTATTAACGAGATCCAGCGCCCGAACCGGACCCTGCGCGAACCGGACCACCTATGCAATGGGTAATGAAGAATGGATTCAACAATGTCGAGTGAGCTTCATATTGTTAGGCACAATGAGAAATGCTAATGCAATTGCACCAGCTATTTCAATTTATACACAAACACCTAAGTTGAACAAATATCTAAATAATTGAAAATAAATATGGTTATTATCACTAAAAAATTATCTTGATCGGGCACGAATCTTGATGCAAATATATGATGAAATTTCAAAAAATAAAGTCAGGATCATTCAAACTACAATTTTAGCAAGCTCATAGTCAAATTGAACGTCTCAAAGAGACAACCCCTATAACACTAAAATCGGTCCAATCCGAACCCAAATTTGGTCCAAATCGAGGGCTCGAAACCTATTTGGAAGCTTCATAGCATTAATTGGATGACCAAATGATATCCAAATGTGTCATTATTATAGTCGAATCGAGTGGCTCTACGAGACAAAGATTGCCAAATTCTGACATCATTAAGACACTCAAATGCCTAGCAAACAATCCAAGATCGAGGGAGTTGATATCAGTCGTCCATTGAAATACTCCCAACATGTTTTTGATATTCTCCTTATTTACTAGTCATGTCACTCTCAATGATAATGATAATAATAAATATACCCCTCATTCTTCACACAGGGAGAACTAGGAAGAGATAAAAAAACAAAGAATATATCTTTCTTTCTCAAGCTTGCACCAATCGATCGCCTACCGTCATCGGACTTCCACCTAGCCTCCAGACTTTCTTCCAAATAATCGTCACCCAACTATAGTCCTTCCAACCACCATTGCTTGACTACGGTCCTTTCGACCTCTGTCATTTGACAATTACGATCTTTCCGACCACCGTCACCCAATGGCAGCCCTTCCGAGCACCATCGTCTGACTACAGTCCCTCTTGTCACATAAGATTTGTCAAAACGCACATGAAATAAACATTTTATTTTGTACTTCAAAGTACGTCTTTCTCCATTGCCAACCTTGGCTTTTTTAGACTTAAAGGAGTTTATTTTTCATTTAGGACAGTTTTCTTACTGCTTCGATTTATCGCAACCATTTTTGTTTGACCATTGATTCTTTTTTGCTTTCAAAAAAAATTATACTAGAAAGCTGCTTTCTACAACAAATTTAAAAAGTTGCTTTCTTCACAACAGCTTACAAAGTTACTTCTCAATATAAAAATTCCTTGAATTAAAAAATTTTTTACTAGAAAGCTGTTTTAGAAAATAATAAAAAAGCTATTCAAAATGAAGACTTAGGCTTCATTTGGGATAGCTTCCTTACTGTTTTCTAAAGTAACATTCTACTTCAAGAAATATTTATGCTAAAAAGCTGGTTCAAAATGTATTAAGAAAATTATCTCAAAACGAATCCCTAATCTCTTAATTATAAAGGAAAATTCATATTAATTTGCTTATATATACTAAGAAACTCTACGCCTTAAATTTTGTATAATGTTACATTCCATTACATAGGAATAGATAAAGATCTTGAAATTTATTGTCAAACATTTCTATTCAAAATATCACATACATCAAATTTTATTGCAGACATTGTTGATTCATTGTTTACACCATAACTACACCAACATAATCCAAATTAATGCAACATCTTAACTATAATAGTCACTAAAATAAGTAGCTCATCTCCCCCACAATCTTCATTCTAATATGTATATTTGGAACACATTGAATTGCCTCATGATCTCATTAATTTATTGAGAGTGAGGATTGCACTTAGACTCATCATAGAGCTCAACATTTCTTTCATTTGATGACTGAATTGGCCTGGCATTGTTCTGAAACTCTGGAGCAAGAGAAGATTTGATCAAAGCAACTTGCTCCTTGGAGACCTTCCTCACCTAAAAAAAGCATATGATAGTTCTGATCAGTTCAAAGTAATCCCAACTATTCATTTATATAGATAGAAAATTCACTAAGATGATGCATTTGTATTTTGATTTTCTCAAATTCAGAAGCATAAGATCAAATTGAGGGGATTTTGGAGGAATAAAACAACAACAACAAGCCTTTATCCCACTATGCGGGGCCGGCTACAAGAATCATTTTTCTCTATTGTGTCCTATTATGAGTCAAATTCTCATCTAAATCTAATAAATAAAAGGTCATTTCTAATATTTTCTAATCAAATTTGTTTAGATCTACATCTATCTTTCTTAACTTAAGTTAAATCTAATACATCTACTTTTCAACCGAGTCATTGGAAGGACACCGTTTTATGTGACCAAACCATTTATGGTGACTCTGTCTAATCTTCTAATCTTCCACTGAAGCTATTCCAACCTACTGTCGGATTTTGGAGAAATGAAAGTTGAACATTTTCTCTTTATATAACAAAAATTATGAAAATGCTATGGTTATAACCTAACAAGAAGAGAAATATGAGATGTTAAAAAAATAAAAAAAAATAAATTTGATATGTTAAAGATTAATTTGTTTGGAACAATTTTAAACCACTTTTTCCCCCTATTTTTAAAAGATTTTTTTACTAAAGTAGTCTTATAAAATAGTAAGAAAGTCTTCCCAAACGAAGCCTAAACTAGAAAATTCGGAAAAGAATGTAGGTTTTGATCTAATTTAGGTGAAAATAAGCTATTTTACTAGCTGAACTTCATAAAAAAAATGAAAAGACTATGATTTTTTTTTTTTTTTTGGAGGGGAGGAGAGGGGGAGGGTACTAATGTATAAAATGTTAAGAAATAAGAATAAGTTTGTGTAGTTTAATTCAGACAGTCAACAACAATGTGCTTAGCTCCTTATATCCTATTTGATAAAGAATTATTTCAACTTAGGCATCATTTAGGACAGCTTTTTTACTGCTTCTTAAAGCAGCTTTTTAGTACAAAAATTAAAATTTTTACACTAAAAAACTATTTTAAAAAACAGTAAGAAAGCCGTCCCAAACAAAACCTTAATCTCATATACACCGCAATAATTCATACTAAAAATCATAAAAACACAAAGAGAAAGAGATTACTATACATAACTTTATGGCTAATTATACCAACATGTACATTACCTTGCCAAGAATATACCATGTGACCTTCTCGGTACAAGGAGGGGTTGTGAGCGAGCCAACATATCTGAAGAACCTTCGACTATGGCGCTTCAATGACTTGGTTCGAATTGGACCAATTGGCACTTGAATCTCTTCATCCAGCGAGCAATGTTCCTTAGCCAATTGAGCCACCCAATCCTTCAACTATAAGCAGTGAACCATAAGAATGTAAGATATGCTCAAAATAAATATATATTTTTATCAGTTATAGCTTAGAGGATTTGTCTAACCTGATAGAGAAAAGGGTCAGTGTTACCAAAATCATATAGAATAGCTACAATTGCAACATTGCCATCTTCATCTTCACTCTCATGAACCATTTGAAGCTCCAATGGATATCTATCAAAACAAATCAAATGCAAATTAGTAATTAATTAATAACATTTTGTTAAGAAATAAATAGCGTCAAAGCAATCATTAAGGCTTCGTTTGGGGTTGATTTCTTGTTGCTTCTTAAAACAACTTTTTAGTACAAAATGTTTCATTTTTGTACTAGAAAGTTTCTTTAAAAATAGTAAGAAAGTCATCTCAAATGAAGCCTAAGTCTTCATTTGAGACGATTTTCTAATACAAAAATTTTTTAAAGCAGTTTTAAGAAGCAGTAAGAAAGCCGTCCCAAACGAGCCTTTTTAAAACAACATTTTAGTATACTAATTTTTGTACTAAAAAGATGTTTTAATGAGAAGTAAGAAAGTCGTCCCTAACAAAGCCTAAGTTTTCTCTTCCCATCTTGCAACAAGAGTCCCCCACTTTTCTCAAATTTCAACTGTACCCAAAAAAATAAAAAAAAATAAAAATATTTTTAGTAATTTTTAATGATATGAAAAACAAAATAATTTTATAAATCTGAAAACAAAAAGGTTATAAGCATCATCAATATCTAATTATTCTTAAGTGCTTCCTTAAAGAGAAAAAAAAATGTAAAACATGATCAATATGTGTTATGATATTTTCTTTTTTTTTTAATTAAAAGAAACTAATTGCTAAATGTTATCATTAACTTATGATTCATTGGTGTATAATTTGATTAAATAAAGGGTGTAAATTGCAAAAAAAAAACTAATTTAACTTAGTACTACATGAATGTGCTGAAAATTATTAAATTTATTTTGAGATTAGTGCAATACAAATTTATTATATACAACATTAATCTCAAAGCAAATTCATTAATTTCAAATCCATACTACATGAAGTATTATTGACAAATAATTAAGTTAATGGATCAATTTTGCAAAGCCCATTAACAAAAATTGAAATTTATATAAATAACCCTATGACATTTCCTATATTTACAGGAGGTATACCATACCATTACATTGAAGCCATTGTTAATAAGAGTGGCATTTGCATCAACATAAAGCCTACTGAGGTCATGCAATTTGGAGTTTAGAGTGGCATTATCCTGCAAAATGTTGATGGGAGATTGAATGGTTCCGCTGGAGCAAGATTTGTACTCAGCAGCGAGATTTCCCCATTTGGATGGGCCATTTCCAGCATAATTGAAGCTAACAAATCCTTCAAAAATATTTATAAAAAAATTAAAATTAGAAAAGAATATGACAAAAAATAATAGATGTAATTTAAATATAATTTAGAAAATTATATTTTTGCATATTTTGTTTGCCAATAAAATATTAATTTGTATTCGTGAATGAATCATTGGACATATAAATCATTTGAAAATGATTAGAACTAAGCCCTATTCAAAATGATTAAAACATACTTCAAATATGGTTCGAACAATTCATCATTCCTTCAAACAAGCACTATATGAGCTCTATCATGAACTCCGCTCCTTAACATATCGTCGGTGTCGTTAAGCCTGTAGCCAACAAGCTCCCTTTGCATGCAGTACTCGATCATATTGATGCCTTAACTCATTAACTTCATTGTGAACTCTTCTTGACCTTTATACACCATCAATCCAAATGCCTTCCCCAGTTAAGCTCCGTTTATACATAATTAGACTGTATAGATGTCTTCCCCTAACAAGTGTCATTGCAAACTCTTCTTTCTCCTTCGCATGCCATTCACCCCAATGCCTTCCCCTAATGAGCTCTCATCACATGTAGCTGGTTTCATCAAGGCCTTCTCAATTATTTTCATTCTGAAACCTTCCCTTAGCTCACTATGATTCAAACCAAGGTTCGAATTCAAATCATGCTCAAACCAATTTGAATTCAAATCAATTTCGAATGACTTCAACTTCAACAATCAATCCACAAATATAAGAAGTTGTTCCTCATTAGAGTAAATTTCGCCCAAAATAAATCTTGAGGCATGCTTATCAAAATAAACACAATGCACGGATATGCCAAATACATATATTATGAGGCATACAAAATCAAATTTTTTTATAAAAATATCTTGACATGTTTTGTATCAGATAAAGAAACAAATGATCAAATAAAAAAAATAATCAATACTAATTGCATGAAGATATCATGATATAAATCTATAAATAAATATAAAAATATTTTTTTGCAACAAATCAAGCAATCTACGCATATTATTCAGACTAACCGGTATGAGCCTCCACATGAAAAAGAAGAAGAGAAGCTAATCCCAAAGCTAAGAAAACCTCTTTGATAGCCATTATTTAAATTCTCCTATTGGCCTCTCCAACTCTCTCAAAACAATTTGTTTCTCCCTTCTCAATCTTCCCTTTTAAAAAGTAATGGGGGAAGAAGAAACCCTCTCAAAGACCTCCAAATAAGGTATAAATAGATATATATCAATGGAATCCAATGGTGTTTGTTTCTCTGCCCTCCTCTAATGATAGAGAAATGAGTAAATAAAGGGATTTTGAGGTGATTTAATGCTATTTTTAGTTCTATCTTCTATTTTTCTCTAACTACATGAATATAATTGTTTTTCTCGTGAATTATTCGATCGTAAAATATATATATTTTTCATTTATGCGATTTTACGATGACGAAAACGGTCGAAATAATAATTCTTCGACGTTAAATTCTCTCTCCTCTTCATAATAATAATTATTTTTTTAAAGAATTTGTTGTCCATTTGTTATAAAATAATCATACTCAGTGGTAAGGAACTAATTTAGCTTTGTTTGTTCAAACTAAGAAAGCCCCTTTCTCCCTATCACAAAATATTCTATTTTTACTGTTTTTTTATTGTGAAGATAAAATTAGTTTTAAGAAATAATATGCTATGATAAATCTAAAATAATAATATTTATTTTTAGTAATATCAATAGCATTTATTATAAAAAATATAAAACTAAAAGCTATTGAGAAAAAAATCTAAATGTTAAAAGGTAAATTATAGTGTTTAAATAAATTTTAAGTAAATAAACTAATTCAATAATAAATGCAAAGTTAAATTTTGTTAATTATGAAATATAATTGAAAAAGGATTCATGTAGAAAAAAGATTCAAGTAGCCGATCCCACGTAGTGGGATAAAGGCTTGATGTTGTTGTTGATGAAATATATTTGAAGAACTGACATAAAAAAAATGTGAGGAAATATGAATTTTAAAAAAGACCAATAATAATCACAAAAATAAATTAATAATTTTTGCTACTTTTTTTTTAAAATCTTTTGAGTTTAATTATCTTTCTTAGCTTTCTCATGCTGCTCCATTATCATAATAAATTAATTGATAACTTATACATATTTGGAAGCTTCAAAATATTAAGTTGGATCGAACGGCTCGATGAGACAAATCCAACAATCCTAAGATCACTTAATTTTAACATCATTAATGAACTTAAATGCTTGACAAATACTCTTTGATCGAGGGAACCAATATTGGTCATCAAATGAAGCACTCCGAATTTACTCTATATCTTTTTCATATTCATGGAGCATCTCACTCTCAAAATTTATAAATAGACATAATCTCCCTGCTGAGCCATGAAGGGGACCTTGGGAGTTGGGAGGCTAGGATCTTGGGCTATAGATCCAAGAGAGCTCTAAGGCATGAATCTTGAAGCACCACCGTTAACAAACCCTCATCGCCCAGCTGTCACCGTCAAAATTTTAATGGCAGACCATCGCCGAACATCCACCTAGCTACCACTCAGCTTGGCCATCGTTCTTGAACCTCTAATTGACCATTGTCTTCGAACCTCCATCCAGCTAGCAACACTAGGTCTCTGCTTGACCTCCACTACAAGAAAATCGTCAAGAAAATCGTCTATTACAAACGGATTTTTCCAGTGAAAATTGCTCATTTTTCAGGCAGATTTGGATGTTTTGGGTGAGTTTCTAACGTAAAATTTTCTACCTGCAAAAGTTGCGTACCAGCGAAAAAAAAAAAGCAACATAAAAAAAATATTTTGGCAACTATTTGAGAAAAAATGATGACAAAAACGCTAGAAAAAGAAGAAACCTGCTCGAGAACCCTCCGTGCGAGATGACAATGCCCACACACCGCCGACGCCTTGGCCCCACGGGGGCCGACCGAGTCTACTCCAACGCGCCAGTTGCCCACGGTCAACAAAATAAGATTTTATTTAGAATAAGGCTGATGTCTACCGCCTTGTATCCCCGCTCCATCTAGACCGACTGAGCTGCCACAAGCCCGATGTTGGCAGCTGGCATTAACACCTCATGAAGAGTTCAAACTTCTGTGCTCTTCGTCGGATAAATTGCTTCAAGACAACTACAACCATTATCTGCAAGAAAAAGTGTGTTTTATTGTTACATTTTTATATTTAAAAATTAGAATTATACAAAATTAAAGTTATCAATGTAATTTAAAATATAAAATAAGAATTCAAATTTAATAAGTAATTAAGATAAGTTATTTTATATCAATAATTAATTTAAAATAAGATATTTAATTAATAAATTAATTAAAATAAATGATAAAAATTACAATTAATAAAATAAAATATTAAAATTAATAAAAAAAATTAAATAGAATATGAAAAATGTTAACATTTTTATTTAAATAGGTAATTTAAATTAGTTAATATTATTAGTTTATTTCAAATAGTTTTAATTTATAAATTTAAGATTTTTTAAAAAAATTGTTAAAATTTGCGAAAAAGTAGCATAAATATTTCTTCCCAAATCCGTCGGAAAGGTTGTCAGAAATTTGCCATAAAATTAGTCGAAAATATTTCATCGTCATCTGTCGGAAATCCGCTAGAAAGCCGCTAAAAATTAATCAGTCAGTAATGAGTGATTTTCCTATAGTGCTCCATAGCCCGACTATAGTTCCTCTGACCTCCATCACCTCATTATGGTCCCCCCTTACCTCTGTCATTCGACTATAGTTATTCCGACCTCCATCACCCACCCACAATAGTCCTTTCGAGCACCGTCGTCTGACTATGATCCTTCAACCTTAATCATCTGACTATGGTCCTCTTAACATCCATCACCTGCCGACTACGATCCATCTGACCTCTGCCGCCTGCCGACTAGGGTCCTTTCGGCCTCCATCACCTGCCGACTACGATCCCTACGGCCACCCTTGCTTAACTACGACATGTTGACCTTGATTGCTTGATTAGGCTCCTCCCAACCTCCATTGCTCCCCGATTATTATTTTTCAACCTTAATCACCAAACTATGATCATGGTCTTTCTTACCTTCGTCGCTCGAATACAATCATTTGACATCCGTCTCTCAACTACAATCCTTCTAACCCTTGTTACCCGCTTACTTCGATCTTTCCGACCTTCGTCGTCTGTTGACTTTTGTCCTTCCGAACTCCTTCACTTGCTGACTATGGTCCCTCCTGCATCATTGCCCGACAATAGTACCTCCGACCTTTGTTATCTGTCAACTACAATCCTTCTAACCTCCATTGCCCGCCCACTGCAATCTCCCTAACATTCATCTCCCAAGGAAGGTCCCTTTGACATTTGTCGCCTGACAACAGACCCTTCGACCCCAATTGTAGGCTATGATCACTCCAATCAATATCGCCTTACAACAATCTCTCCAACCTCCATCTCTCGCCAACGGTCCCTCCGACATATATCCCCGACTAGGATTAGCTCAAATTTAAATTTGACTCGTTAACACATCAAATTTGCCTCTAGCAACTTATTAAGTCAAGCCTAAACCGACCCTAATGAATAAGATTTGATGGAAATAGGATTTATAAATATAATATGCCAACATAAATATTAGCACTATCAGCTCTGCCGCCCCACTAAGCAGTGGACTCACATATGAGCTCTTGCCACGAATCTCAAAGTGGTCCACTCTCAGCTTTAGTGGCAGCATGCCAAAGCCATTAGAGATATGAGAGAAAAGAGAATAATAGAGAAAGATTCCTTTCACATTTCGTATTTAATTAGTCATAGTGACATCAGCGCTTTATAATTTTCTTAATTTTTACTTAAGTATGTTTAGAATATTTAATATTACTTAATTAATATTTAAACTAATTTTAATTATCTTATTTTATGAGGAAATTTATATTTAAGAATAATTGAGATTACATCCAATTAATAACAAAATAATTATTAAATATATCTTAATTTAAGTTTAGTTATTTATTAATTTCAAATCAAAAATAAAATTTAAATAAGTCAACACATACATAACAAAATTAGATTAATTAGGATTAATAGGTTATTTGATTTGAAATCAAATAGGTAAAAAGTATTTGAAAGATATGGGTTTTGAAAATATTAATGTTTGATTTGAAGTAAAATAAATGCAGAGTAAAATCTTGAACTATTGGGAAATCATCTTTTAGTATAATTTCGATGTATTTGAAAATCGTTGAATTTGTTCAAGTTCCAAATACATTATAATTTATTTTCCATTATCACCCTAACCATCACATATATTTGTGCCAACCATTCCCCCCCCCCCCCCCCCACTGTTACATTCCTTATCTCCTTGGATTGCTCAAACCTGGCGATTAGGTGGCGGTCTAAGTCCATTTGATTTTGAGGATGTAATTCTCTTTATTTCGGTCAGATTGTTTGGTTCTGACATTTATTGTATTTCTCTGTTACCATCTTTTGATCTTGTGGTGTAATGCTCTTCATATCTAATAGAATTTTCTTTTGAAAAAAAAAATTCCTTGATAAGTTTTACTTTGATTTTTATTTATAAATAACACTAACATGGTCATAACTGCACTTTATTCTTCTTGAAAACATTGATTAAGACCTCATTTGAGAATTAATTAACTTTTTTTTTTATAAAAAAAGATTTAATTTGGAAATTAGGAGCATAGATTAAAGATAATGATTCATTATAAACATTAATTAATTTTTTAATAACAAGAAATCGTTTTCTACCCGCACTCAAAGTGGGGAGATTCAGAACATGCGTTTTAGCATCAATAATTACCACCATCCACTTTAGCAAACCAAAAAGGTAAGTACCTAAAATATTTATTATGATAATTAATAATAATTTTATGAAATTTTAATCATTTAAATTTATTTTAGATGATTAAGATTAATTTTAGTTTCTTAAACTATTTGAATCAAGAAAATGAATTGAATAAATAATTGAAGTTTTATAATTTTATTTTTTAATTATTATCATGATTAGAGGTGGCCAAAGGATTAATAATTGAATTGTTAGGTAATGAAAATTGGATTTATTTGCAATTATCATTTTTGTAAAGAGGTTATTTTCCTATTGAT